TGTGTCCCTTTTTGACCTTTCTCCGGCACATGAGGAAATCGGACAATATTCAGACGTATAGGCTTACTCGCATGGCTCTGTTTCTCATGATTGTTCCGCTGCGCAGTAGGCTGATGCGCAGTCATATTACATGTGCTAACGAAGCAAGTGCCAATTACGATCGCTCGTGTATTAGTGCACCAAGTGACCAACAAGGTGACCTATGGTGCTTATGGGTGAATAGCTAAGCGTTTCCTAGCCTCTCTATGTGTGACCGTTCGTGTACCATTTAGTCAACCTGAGTTGATCGGTTGTCAACAGATTGAGGACCCCTGTCAATTTGCATTAGTTAATTCATTTGCGACTTATCGCGTATACTTTTCCTAACAGGCCTGAGTACCGTTGTTTACAAGGAGGAAGTTTTTATGAAAACCGATTCCCAGAGAGATGTCTGGAAATGATCAGCTGGCTGCGGTAATCTTCCCAACTCAAACCAGTACAGTATAAGGCAGTATTTCACCACTTGCAGTGAGTATGGTCACCTTTCGAACAATCACACGCTAATAGGAGGCGTTATTTTATACTTTCCAAGAGTGACCCCTTACCGGAAAGTTCTCTCCCAAGGAAAGACACTGTACTTGGTATTTTTATGAAATTTTTTTTTCCACAACCCCAACTGGGGGATTTTTGTCAATAACAGGTTTAATGAAGGGAGACTACTTGTTCATCCATCTGTCCTGTGTTGTTGACGTATGGAGTATTGCTGGAGTAGCTCCAATACCCATAGCTTGTAATCCCGTCGCGCAGAGACTGTATCTCACCACCAATCACTACAGTGTGACGGTGGTGATGGTGATATTGATACATCAGAATTACTCATGATTGAATTCGCATTTTTGTCAAAGTAATTGAGCAATTGCTGCTTGGCATTATTAAATGAGCGCCCCCAGTGATGTGAGTAGATTTCCCCACAGGACCTGTAGATCCGCTAAGGATGCGGTAGCCTGCCTCTGAATGTCTTAGAATTCAGAACACAGGACTTCGGTAGTGTCTCTGATTCAATCGATCGAAAACTCCTGCTGCGTAAATGTTTCGGGACGGACATCGAGAAACCCCTTCTCATACTGGTGCTTTGCTGACCTAAGGCAGTAAGTTCAGATTGGCGGGATCGATGTGTTACTATCCCTGTTCACTTTCTACACAGAATTTTTGAAAACCGATGGTCAAGTTGTTCGCTTAGCTTGGCAGTTTTGTTACATGCCGTCACCAATCAAAATATGCATTGTTGTGAATCAAAGCGGAGGTATTTGTTGAGCAGCGATGTGCGCGAGATTGAATGGTGCTTCTGAAGGAGGTCACGTTCGAACTTCAGCTCTCTGATTAGTGACCTTTGCCAGACTGGTTTGATGCTCAACCATGTTTGCATCATTTATTTCGGTTCGCGGAGCTGCATAGATTGGGTCCATTTGATTTAGTTCGTTGTGGAGTACCGCGCTTCCAGTAATTCTTAACGTTATAGCACTTCCATAAGTTTTTATCAAGGCACTACAGCGTTTTTGGCAGAATTTTCGCTGCGCTTCTGAGTAGTTTGGTTTCCAAGTCACCCCACACATCCAGGATTGCTGTCCTTAGTTTGTTCGTTGCAGACGCGCCTCGGCTTATACGAGCTGTTTTTTGTGCCAGCCTTGTACAGAATCCTTGATTTCCTTAATTGGGCTAAAGCGTTATCATTCTGATACAGTAGCTCTCTGGGATGCTTTCACCGATCAGTAGCACACTGACCGCATTGTAGAAGTCGGCCGTTGTATTCTCGTGTGCTATAGCCAACCCGTTTCTCGTTCAACAGCAACGATCCATTAAAACCACACAAGGCACTCCTTTGTGATTTCGACTAGTAAGAATTCTTTCCTGAAGTCATGTTAATAAAGGGTCAAACCATCTGAATGTCAAGTTCAGGACTCTAGATTTGACTTTGTGTGGCATATGGATTGTGGTCAACAGGAGGCCTTTCTCATCACTTATTTTAGATGGGAAGAACCTTGCGAAGTTTCAAATTTCAATACCCTTTTTTTATTTCGGGANGCGGTTGTTCCTTTGTCTCGGTTGATCATTAATGGCCGCCTGTGCGCTTGTGTACGGGGTGCCTTGGCCATGGAGTGGATGTGAACTTTTTGTGTCCCTTTTTGACCTTTCTCCGGCACATGAGGAAATCGGACAATATTCAGACGTATAGGCTTACTCGCATGGCTCTGTTTCTCATGATTGTTCCGCTGCGCAGTAGGCTGATGCGCAGTCATATTACATGTGCTAACGAAGCAAGTGCCAATTACGATCGCTCGTGTATTAGTGCACCAAGTGACCAACAAGGTGACCTATGGTGCTTATGGGTGAATAGCTAAGCGTTTCCTAGCCTCTCTATGTGTGACCGTTCGTGTACCATTTAGTCAACCTGAGTTGATCGGTTGTCAACAGATTGAGGACCCCTGTCAATTTGCATTAGTTAATTCATTTGCGACTTATCGCGTATACTTTTCCTAACAGGCCTGAGTACCGTTGTTTACAAGGAGGAAGTTTTTATGAAAACCGATTCCCAGAGAGATGTCTGGAAATGATCAGCTGGCTGCGGTAATCTTCCCAACTCAAACCAGTACAGTATAAGGCAGTATTTCACCACTTGCAGTGAGTATGGTCACCTTTCGAACAATCACACGCTAATAGGAGGCGTTATTTTATACTTTCCAAGAGTGACCCCTTACCGGAAAGTTCTCTCCCAAGGAAAGACACTGTACTTGGTATTTTTATGAAATTTTTTTTTCCACAACCCCAACTGGGGGATTTTTGTCAATAACAGGTTTAATGAAGGGAGACTACTTGTTCATCCATCTGTCCTGTGTTGTTGACGTATGGAGTATTGCTGGAGTAGCTCCAATACCCATAGCTTGTAATCCCGTCGCGCAGAGACTGTATCTCACCACCAATCACTACAGTGTGACGGTGGTGATGGTGATATTGATACATCAGAATTACTCATGATTGAATTCGCATTTTTGTCAAAGTAATTGAGCAATTGCTGCTTGGCATTATTAAATGAGCGCCCCCAGTGATGTGAGTAGATTTCCCCACAGGACCTGTAGATCCGCTAAGGATGCGGTAGCCTGCCTCTGAATGTCTTAGAATTCAGAACACAGGACTTCGGTAGTGTCTCTGATTCAATCGATCGAAAACTCCTGCTGCGTAAATGTTTCGGGACGGACATCGAGAAACCCCTTCTCATACTGGTGCTTTGCTGACCTAAGGCAGTAAGTTCAGATTGGCGGGATCGATGTGTTACTATCCCTGTTCACTTTCTACACAGAATTTTTGAAAACCGATGGTCAAGTTGTTCGCTTAGCTTGGCAGTTTTGTTACATGCCGTCACCAATCAAAATATGCATTGTTGTGAATCAAAGCGGAGGTATTTGTTGAGCAGCGATGTGCGCGAGATTGAATGGTGCTTCTGAAGGAGGTCACGTTCGAACTTCAGCTCTCTGATTAGTGACCTTTGCCAGACTGGTTTGATGCTCAACCATGTTTGCATCATTTATTTCGGTTCGCGGAGCTGCATAGATTGGGTCCATTTGATTTAGTTCGTTGTGGAGTACCGCGCTTCCAGTAATTCTTAACGTTATAGCACTTCCATAAGTTTTTATCAAGGCACTACAGCGTTTTTGGCAGAATTTTCGCTGCGCTTCTGAGTAGTTTGGTTTCCAAGTCACCCCACACATCCAGGATTGCTGTCCTTAGTTTGTTCGTTGCAGACGCGCCTCGGCTTATACGAGCTGTTTTTTGTGCCAGCCTTGTACAGAATCCTTGATTTCCTTAATTGGGCTAAAGCGTTATCATTCTGATACAGTAGCTCTCTGGGATGCTTTCACCGATCAGTAGCACACTGACCGCATTGTAGAAGTCGGCCGTTGTATTCTCGTGTGCTATAGCCAACCCGTTTCTCGTTCAACAGCAACGATCCATTAAAACCACACAAGGCACTCCTTTGTGATTTCGACTAGTAAGAATTCTTTCCTGAAGTCATGTTAATAAAGGGTCAAACCATCTGAATGTCAAGTTCAGGACTCTAGATTTGACTTTGTGTGGCATATGGATTGTGGTCAACAGGAGGCCTTTCTCATCACTTATTTTAGATGGGAAGAACCTTGCGAAGTTTCAAATTTCAATACCCTTTTTTTATTTCGGGATACTCCTTGAGTTGGATGTGGTCCTCGTCAATCCATTTTCCGCTTTACCAGACGGGCTCCGCGTGAGTCACCTAGTTTTGTCGGAAGATTTGCCCAAGGAATCGGTCATAGAGGTTTTCGAACATTGGATACTCATTTCCATGTCCCATGGGTAAAAAAAGTTTCCTTGTTCCACAGTCTAATCGACTCAAATGAACTGTTGTTTCATTCCCAAGGAGAGAACATATCGTTAATTGGATCTTGATCGTGACCTTGAAACATCATGGCTTAGAGCATCGCCCGTATTGAGCTCAGCGTGGTGTTGACAGTCCGTCAGATCAACGAAGTGACATGAATAGTGTGCCGCACTCACTCAAGACCCAAAGCAAAAATTTTTTACAATGGAAAACAAAAGTACAACCACATTTAGTGAGCGACCAAACCACTCAACGTTTTTTTCGAAATCTGAACACCCTAAATTGTCTAAATCGAAATGGTGTGCCTAATAGAATTGTGTACACTTTATTAACATAGTTGCCAAACGATTCATGCAAATGCATTCCGTTGAACTCTCTTTCTTTTACGAACATTTCCTTTTTAGGTCTAGGCATTATTCTAAAATCCGTCGGTTTGATCCTGTACATCATCCTTCTATGTTTGCTCCGTCACTCACCGGTCAACCAAGATGGTAATGACCCGAACTTCCTTCTCCCCACAACACGAACTTGTCGTAAACCGAGTGAACCTCTTGGGGGTGCTTCCGCAACATTTTGAAAAAGGACGTTTTGTGTTTAAAACAAATGAACGCATTCCACCTGTCGTACCATGTGTTTCCGATCCCTTCCTGGCGCATTACCGCCTTTGACAACTTCACAGTATATCAGATCTTTATAAAGCTGCATTTTTTGTAGAAAAGAACAATACATTGTTCGCTTGTATGATAACATATTTTCTTGCCTTCATGCGCTGGAATGCTTCCAGACGTGTTTTCTTTTCCAATGTTATCGGAGTCTTTTTTGCAAGTTTTGCGCTATCATCGTCTGCTCAGGACGTGTCTGTAGTACGAGCAACCGCTTCATTTTCTCTCCGATCTTCCCTGCATCACCTTCCGAGCAGCCTGCTTTTGAGTCGGCTGCGTCCGGTCCAGCGTAAGTGCTGCATACTTCCTACAAAAACCTAGCCCCCCACTCTCCCCTCATACACGTTGAATGTTTTGAGATTTATTTATACGGTACAACCTTCCACATATATCGTTCAGTTTATGCGCGAAGACCCCACCGAGATTCGACAATGTTTTGCTGTTTCCATGCCTGACCTGCAGAAGCGCACACAAAGCCTGTTCGAACGCAATCTGCTGCCTCACCCCATACCTATATCCATAATCATACGAGTATATCTGTTGCTGTGATACAAGCTCCATTGTATTATTGTTGACAATTATTCACGTTTTATGACACGGTAATATCCAAAGAAACGAACAAGATTATGTTGCACTATTCCCTGACTTCTTCCTATCGTATCGGTTTTCCTCTAATTCTGGGGGCCATGCATGTTGTTTTCGTAGAATTATTCCTGTCTTGTCGAGAAGAAATGATATGGATACATCTTTACTGGTTCAGTAGATTTTCCAGAGTTATTTTGCATGAGTCGCCAAGCTCGGCAGCTTGCTTATAATTGGTTGGTATTTTGACAAATCAGAACCCGCTACCGTTTTACCTGTAGCAGAATGCCGTGCAACCGCCGCTTCAACACTGTTTATGACTGTTCCGTATGATGGCATGTCACGTCACATATCGGAGGATGCAATGATGCGCCTTATATTGTGGCAGGTCAAGCCAGCCGCGTGAGACAGATTCCAGGAAAGGAAATCGTGCCTCTCGGTTGTGTTCGGCTACCGAATTCTTGATTACCTAACTCGAGACGGAGAATGCCGGTTACCACAAGAGCATATTTTATGAAATAGGTCCACTTTATAAGAAATATTCGGAAGGTTTCGTACTGTCTGCTCAAGCTCTTTATTGGCAGTTAGGACCGAACCGACGGTGGAGTAAAATAAACGCAGTCAAGGCCATTAAATTAACATGTTCTCACCATCCGGCAAGACGATGATTCCGAGGAGGGGCATTTTGTTGCGTGAACCACCCTACTGTCAATTGAACATACATTCCATTGCTTCCTCAACTACTCGGCATGTCTGGCTCGGTCGTTTTATGCAACCCTACTAAGCTAAACAGCCCCGGTCTTTGAGAAACGAACAGTTTCGTGGAATAGTCATCAGTATACTCACTCAGCGAACGAAGTGACCTCCAACCTGCCAACCTTGAGATCAGTCTAGAGAACGGACTTATTTTGGATGAGTAGAATCCACGGATCTTGTAAATAGTGTCGTACCAGGAATCTAGTCGGGTTTGCTCTATCCGTTAGCTGAAATGAAGTAAAACTGGGAATTATTGCTCCCACTCACGCAACACTGAATTGTCTGGTTTCCATCTGAGTGAACAGCTAAAGCGGAGGTGAAGTTTTTTAATTGATTCTCGGAAGTGTCTTAGGCGTATGTTTCCAATACGAAGGTCCAGTCAGCATTGATATGGATTCGGTGACTGAAGGATGCGTGGCGCTGCTATATTCTGTTTGGGTGCGAGTTACTCAAACTGCTGATCGGCAGATCGTACCCGAAAGGGTAAATACTCAAAAATGGGCGGGGGTTCGCGGGTTCAGGACTCTGAACTGGCGTTTCGTGAAATCCTCATCTCTGACACCTAATGTGGATGAAACAAATGCAGTGGTCTTAGGCTTTTCAGCAAAGACTGACTTCACTTACAGGATGAAATCTCAATTAACACCAAGATGTCACAATCGTCAAAACAGTGATGCATTTCCGTTCACCTGATGGTAAGCTTCATAGAGTAGCTGTTTTCTTAACCTGTCGGAACTTTTCAAGTTATTTAAATTTAGAAACATTTGGAAAGTTAATCCGGTTACTTTGATTGTTTTGGTTCAGAGGTGGTGAAGTTATCAACGTGATATAGTTGTAGCTACTGAGCAAATTTTGCTCCGCGCATCGTGCAACACCTCATTTCCCTGTGCTTTCTTCAGGAAATGCATCGTCAACTGGGCTTCTTTGAATAACAACACGGGTCCTTAAACACTTGTTCGCGCACGCTCGAGAATTATGACTCATAGACTCAGCAAGCAATGATGTGAACGGTGTCTTGCGTGAGCTAATGCGAAGGGCTATCTTGATGGTGGCAGATGATGGCTGAAGTAAGCCTGAAAATCGATCAAAAATGGTAAACCCATCTCTATCAACCTTCATTGCCGGTGCATCTTTGCTCTTTCACGGTCCTTAATCTTTCGTTACCCTTTTGAGAATTGGCGGTGGGTGCACTCGGGCGTCTATCTCAAGTCAGGGTACGCACATGGACACAAAGGCAAATCAATAAAAACTCGACATAAAGGAGCGAACTGTACATCGAGTTTACATTTTTCACACGGACTTGTAAATTATTGATGGATTTGTTGAATCTGCGTTTACATCACCGGCACTTGAACAGTCTTCCTCATGTCCTGGTACAGTTATTCTGGTTAACCCCACTAAAGATGACAAGCGCTGGTATCGAGTTCCGCTCACAAACGGTACGTATCCTTGAGTGTGCCGGGTTCTAAATCCAGAGCATCTGACGAGCGTGTTACGATCTCTCCGCAATCACGCTCCAGATTCAGGTAATTTATCACTTCTGAACAGTCAAACATGCTCAGGCTTGCGCAATGTCGTTGGTTTTGCCGACGGCTGAAACGACGACCAAGTAACTGTCCTGGTCGTGTCGATCGACTAACCCGTCTGTCGGGCATTCCAAGTCAGGTAATGCCGCAGATGCTTGAAAACAACTGAACACTTTCCCGATTGGTTACGGGTTGAGCCGGCATCACGCTCGTCTCGCGTATCGGAGGTACGGGGTTCAACTGCCTGCACAGCCAGTGGTTAACACCTGACGAACTTCAGTAAGAATGAAACTCCTGTCCAATGCTTCTCATGTTTGATGTAGGTCCACCAGAATAATCGCGCTCGAACAAGAGAACTGTCCAGGTAAGTGACAAATTCTTCCATACTTTTTAGCACAACAGCTCCAGAGTGCAAAGCAGTCAAAGACCATCAAAGGCAGTTGTCGGTGACGCGGATACGAATATCATGCCCATAGGACAGGACGCTTGGGGGACGGTAACATATTGCTTCACTTTGGAAGGTTATGTGCTGAAAAACAGCTAGCGATTCGATGACTTCGCATTCGAATCAATTGTACACCAATGCTTCTATCCAAATTCCCATGAGTATACGCACCCTTGTTATGCTGTACTTCATAACTGACCACTCGACATCACGTGCAGTGACGTCACTGTATTCTGTTTGGAGGATCTTAATAAAAATTCTACTTCCGAACATCAGAGTGAACGTTTTGGTGAACATTTTTGCAGAGCGGCCGTTTTCGTCCATTTTTTTTTCAACTTAACACGCCAAGTAGTCATCAAATTTGGTCGAGTTCACAGCTCACAAGTGGTTGGTAGACTAATCGAAGGTGAAATTGTCAGACCCAATGTCTGTTTTTTTTGTGACTGCGTTACTGCATTAATACGGCCCACATACCGGGTTCAAAAGTAGGTGGTATGCAGTCGCTTGGGCAGATAATCACGGTAACTACTGCGCACATGACCGTTGAAAGTGATCTGACAAAACAGCTGCAATTTCTGGGAAGCGGGTGAGTAATACGGATGCGGGAGTATGGAAAGAAGCCGATGATATATACCGACGGAATCCAACATTACTAGGCCTTTAGCGTGTGCCCTGGTATGAGGAAAACAGGTGCTTAAGCAATTCGGTCTAATTTGGATTCGTTGCCGTCTTCTGCGTACAACAAGAACAACATACTGGGTAATACCTTATGGCGTTACACTATGGAAATAATGATGATCGTTCAGCACCCTTTCGGTGCCCAACTGCCATGCCAACCGAAGGTCGCACGAGGGCTGGGATACTGCCAGGTTGCCTGTGCCTGGACAGGGGAAGTCGAGAGGCAGAGGTCGCATTCGAACCACGGATCTTCCGGTCGGTAAATTCGCACTCTAACCATTTGGGCCATCTCCCCCCCCCCTTGTGGAAATAATAGATACGTGCATTTAGTGTTAAGTACGTTCGGACCATCCATGGAGGAATGTACTCAGTGTGCTTTACGTAGAACGTACAACGAATCTTATCAAATCCCGTGATAAGCCTAGTACACTTATACGAAGGTTTATTCATCCATTTATGCATATGAAGGTTGTTTTTCGGGTGAACACCATTGTGGCGATGTTCGGAATATGCGGAAGAAATTCGGTATTCCGCATGCAACAATTCATTTGTTGGATTTTTATTTTCATGGGTGCTTGAGTGTAGTGTCGGGATTTTTAGAACAAGTTTTGTTTACAAGCGTGTGCTGTAAATATGAGTGTAGCGTGGAATTTTTACGATGTAGTGACTCGTCCGCAAATCCAGAAGCGCCACAGTTGTGGACTTGGTGAACACGTATGCTGTTGCCCACTCGGTCAAATAAAGTACGGGGAAAGATTGACCAACGTTACCACCGTTTCACTGTGTGAAACAAGTTCGCCATTAATTCTTGCAAATTTCAATTTTTAATCTAACCAACACAAAAAGATGAGTGGTGCCACGTTCGGTTTTTAGTGAGATCTCATCACGCTGCCGACAAACGACTCGCGGCCGAAAGGTTAAACGTTCAAACTGCTCACAAAGACGTTGCGGGTTTGAAACTTTCTTTTGTAATTTCATGAGATGTGAACTGCTCATCATTCCCAAAAAGAATCAAACAGTTTTACAGTATTTCTCGGTTTTTCTTCGTAGATTCACTTCAACGACAGGGTGAAATCTCGGTCGAAAATTAACAAATCTCTTCACAATAGAGTCAACACGAAAAGTCGTGCCAATGTACCATACTGTAGAATCTGTGGCGAACGTTTGTTATAGTAAGATTAAGGCTGATCTATCGTAGATGGTCGCAGGATTCGGGGAATTCGTACCCACACCACTGTCTTCTAAGCAGTCCTCTTTCTATGTGAGGTGAAGCACTGGATTCCAGTTTAGCGCTTATTACAACTCTTGAGCAACGCATATCCTTGACCGTGTTGAGATTTATTCCCTGGACGTCGGGCATTTGAAGTAATAAGGTTTCCACTGTCCCAGAAGCCCACAGTAGACGCCCCTGAATTATCACATATGAACGGGCAAAAGTGTTCACGCTTGAGCGGTACGATTTGTATAGCGCTCCAAACGAGGACCCAGTCGTAATCCTGGTTGTGTCGATCGACTGATCAGCCTATCAGCAATTTGCAGTCAGATAGAGACAGGGATGTTTGGGATGTGCTGGGCCATTTCGCTTAGTTATACATGGTTCCGGGACTCGTGTAATTTGCACTCACAATTCAGA